GGTTTTCAACATGTGGCTCTCGCCTTAGCGCCGAGCACATTCGTTTTAGACATGTGCGTGAGCTTCGCGGATTGAAGGCGGGTCATGTTCAACAGGTGGCTATCGTCTTAGCGCCGCGCAAAATTCTAAGAATGATTTGCAAGAGCTTCACGGATTGAAGGCGGGTCGTCTTCACCATGTGGCTTTCGCCTTGGCGCCGCGCACATTTGTTCCAACCACGCACAAGAGTCTCATTGGTTCCCATGGCTAACATACTAGAAGCAGCGTTCTGGAACGATTCAGGATTGCCAAAGCGCAACAATTACGTTGACTCGCGGTGCTGAAGTCCCAAGAATGGCGTTGTGGTACGACTCAAGACTGCCAAGACGCAACTGTCAAGTTACCTCGTGTCGTTGAAGTCCTGAGAAAGGTGCTCTGGCAGACTTCGAGATTTTCACACGGTTGTCCCCCAACTGGGCAATTCCCTCAGTGGGATTGAACCCTTTTCACGGGGCTTGTGAAGAGCAAGCCTAGAGGGAGGGTGGATTCCAACATCGTTGACGAGTCTTGGGTTTACACTGGTCCTCCTCCTCCTCCTCTTCCTCCTTCGCCTCCTCCTCCTCCTGTCTGCATTACGGCAGCGTCCACCGATGTCCCCCGCACTGGCCTTGCGTCCGCTTGCTTCCGTGGCCCTTTGCCAAAAGACGAGGGCATGGACGCCTGACGTATTGACAGGTCAGCCACAGACGAAGCCACTTGACCAACGTGCCTCGCGTGCTCGTGTTTTCATGTTTCCATGACAATCCTACACTGTCTCAGTAGCGTGCACTCCGTAGGCTGCGCAGCGGCCGCAGCAAGGATCAGAAGAGTCATCTGACGAGATGTCACTATCACTTTTATCACTGTCTGAGCTGATTGATGGTGTGTCCGGGAGATGAGCAAAAGCCTTCGCGATTATTCTGCGGACGACTCTGTTAAATTCACGCAAGTCGCCGTAGGCTGTGTGGATGATGTTGATCAGTCGGTTCGAGTCACTTTGAACTGAGCATGTGCAACGACCAGCATCGAATACTTCGATCAACCTGGAAATCTTACATCTGTCAGATTCTTCCTTGCCCTCTCTCAGGAGCAGGTGCAGCTCGATTGCTTCAATATCGCAACCCATGTGGACAAACGTAAATAATTCGATGATGCACCAAAGGCGGCTCAAGTACGTAACTCCGCAGAAAACGACTAACTTACTGCAGCCACTCAAGAAGATTGGTAGACAACGTAGATCCATATCGATGTTGCCCTGGTCGATGCAGCACCTATCCAACCAGACGGAAGGCTCGCGGCAAGTCTTCGACACAAACTCATGGCGCCACTGTTGCAGAGCGGCCCACTTCGTCGAAGCGCAGTCGTGCCAGCTATGCGAGATGAACGCGTCACAAAATCCAAGTCGTGTAGGCAACGCCTGCATAGAAAGCTCTGGACAAGGGACATTTGTCGCCATGTGTTCGTACCTCAGCCTGACCAGGCTGATGGAGCGAAAACGCGCGTTTGCCTCACGCCGGAGCTCGTCTGCGTCACAGTCTCCGACCAGGCTAGCGATGCCCGCTGCAGCTGCGAGAGACTCTGTCCTTTGAAACACACTGCGCAGACACTGATGGAACCGAAGCCGAAACTGTGGCACGACGCACGCGACGAGCCCGAAAACGTCCCCTGGGAGAAAGCACACCTGTCCCTGCAGCCAGGGCCGGTCGAGTACGCACAGCGAGGCAACGCAATTCGACGCATCTACCAGCGTCAATCCAGCAAAGTAACCCCCCAGGCAGTTCCACATAGATCTGTTTTGAGATGTGGCGTGCAGAGACGAGCGCCAGGCCCAGTAGATCTTGAGCATGACCAGCGCGCTTCCGCAGCAAAACCCGCCGACCTCCGGCTGGGGGCTCGAGGCTGTGAGACGTCCTGCTGGACAGCTGCCTTGCTGGTGCGCTCCTCGGCGCAGAGTCGGGAGCTGCTGCTTTTGGCGCGTCGCGGCGGCAGCCCCGCCCGCACGCCAGCGGTGCCCCGCGAGCTGGCGGCGCGGCGCTCCGCTCCGCGGGAGCGGGAGGCACGGCGAGGCTCGGCGCGTCGACGCCTGGAAAGAGGGGCGTGCCTGACGCGTCGCGTCGAGGCACGGCGGGCAAGAGACAGCCGGCGGAGCGACGCGCCAAGCCAAAATGCCTGGCCGCTGTTCTGTTTCTCAACCTGTTGCTGCGGCGCCAAAACTTACCCTCTCCCGGGGGGGGGGGGGGCTTCGAGCACCATGGCTGCTCCGGATTGCACAAGCACTCCCGCAGAGACGCCACCCTGCGGCGAAAAGGGCCCAGGAGGCCTCCAGGGGCGCCGCAAGAAGGCTCGAAGAAACCCCCAAGAGCCCAAAATAGCCTAAGGTGGCCTCAAGGCGGCCCCAAGACTGCTTAATTGGGGCCCCAAGACCCCACCCAGAGGGTCCAAAACTCTCCGGCAAGACAAGAAGCCGTGGAAATCCGCAACCGTGCCCTTTGGCAAGTTGGGACGCGGGTTCCCCTTGTCCACTGAAATGACCTCCCCTCGCTCACACAGCTCTGCGTGCACCACACCCCCTCCACAGGCCACGATCCCTCGACAGAAAACTGCACCCGCGATCCCGGGGCCACGATCCTTCGCAAGAGACAATGCACCTACGCTCTTGAGGCCAAGATCCACGCGCCCGGGGACACGACTCCTGCTCAAAGCGTTGAACCTGCGCTCTCAAGCTTCCAAGGCGGCCGAGGCAGGCCACCAAGATGGCCCAAGATGCGTCCAAGACAGCTCACAAAGTGGCCCCGCACAAACCCACGCCAGCATCCAAAAGGCCCAAGAAAGGCCCAAAAGACGGCCGAGTAAGGCCACAAGAGGGCACCCAGCAGGGCCCGCTGGTTTTGATAGATGTGTGTGTGTGTGTCTTCACCTTTGCTTCTTCCAGCTCTAGGCAGCCCCTAGACGCCTCCAAGATGGCCCCAAGGCGGCCCCTGAATGGTCGACCCTGATCGGACAAGCACGGGAAGCGCCGATGTTGTCCATTGGGCTCGTGAGGGAAATGAAGAGAGAAGGATGATGGCGACGACAAGGCGGCGGATGACGAGGATAACAGCGTGGATGACGGGAAGGGCAGCGAGAGGAGCAGGAGGACAACGAGTAGGAAGACAAGAACGAGGACGAGGAGGCAGAAATGGAAGAGGTCACGTATGAGGAGAAACGGAGCGGAGGATGAGGAGAAGGAGTAGGAGTAGGAGTAGGAGTAGGAGTAGGAGGAGGAGGAGGAGGAGGAGGAGGAGGAGGAATAGAAGAACGACGACGACGACGACGACGACGACGACGACGACAGCGGCGGCGGGGACGACGACGACGACGACGACGACGACGACGACGGCGACGACGACGACGACGACGGAGGACGGTAAGGAACCCGAGGAAAGGGCGTCGAAGAAGGGAGGATCCTCTTGGTGTGTTGAGGCCACCCTGGGGGCTACCTGGGCCGTCTGGGGCTATCGTGGGGCGTCCTGGGGCCTCTTGGGGGCCTGCCGGGTCTTCTTTGGGGGGCTACTGGGGTCGTTTTGGACGATCGTTCTCTCCGGAGGCGTGCAGCGCGATAGCACTCTAGTCTAATATCGCCGTTGCATGGTTTCCAGAGAACTCTCCTCCTCCTCCTCCCCTCCTCCTCCTCCTCCTCCTCCTCCTCCTCCTCCCCCTCCTCCTCCTCCTCCTCCTCCTCCTCCTCCTCCTCCTCCCCCTCCTCCTCCTCCTCCTCCTCCTCCTCCTCCTCCTCCTTGTCGATGCTCATGTTTTCAAAAGGTCCCAGATCAAATCCACGGCCTGCTCAAGTGCGACGGCCTCTGCGGCAAAGGACGAAACTGGAGCGTTAAGAAAGGCTCCTGCCATGCAGATTGGATACGATACTGTCTCGTTCGGTAATTTGACGTGGGCTTCGACGTACCAAGCAGCTGCTGTTCACGGCCAAGAGGGCCCCAAGACGGCCCAAGAGTCCCAAGACGGCCCGAAAAGAGGGCTACGGGACCCGCAAGACTGCACCACAGGAATCTAAGAAAGGACAGGAGCAAAGTAGGAAAACAACGAAGACGAAAAGAGAACCCCCGACACGACGCGAATCGGCGCGTCAAATGGCACGACCCTTACAAGCCTTGGGACACGAGGTGCCACACGTCACGGCGTCCAGTGCACCGCCCAAAGCTATTGTACAGTCGCCGCACAAAGTTCTGGGCTGACATAGTGGCAGGACTTGTTCGAACGCACACAAGAATGATCCTAGGCAAGAGTGACTCTAGGTGTGCGGCTCTAGGGGGCCGCGGGGAGGCCAAAATCCAAGCGCGCATGCCCATGATTGGGGGACCCCTGAGGTCCCTGTGAGCCCGCACCAATGGTCACTCCGGCAAAGGGCCACTCTTACAGGTAGCCGACTTGACACCCACAGCTGGATAAGTTCAGTCGCGTGCTTTCCTCCCGAGATGCCCCAAGATGGCCGCAAGACGGCCCCTCAAAGCCCCTCAAACTGAAAGACAGCTTCAAGATCGACCCGAGGTGGCCCTACGGTGGCCTCCAGAGGCCCCAAGACGGCACTAGTATCTCCCAAAATTGCCTAGCAAAGCCTGGAGTCGGCCCCGGGATGCCCCCGAGGGACCAATGGCCTCAGATCCGAAAGGCCCCTAAGTAGCCCCAAATGCTGCCAACGATAGCTTAAAGGTGACCCCCAGGTGAGCTCCCAGGCGGCCCGTCAAATCTCCAAGGAGGACCCAAGATGGTCCCAGTATTTTCCCATGGTGGCTTTACAAGGGGAAACCAGCAGCAGAGGGCGCAGCCCTTCAGATGTGAGATTGACCATCATGTATGAGGCGTACAAGATGCGTCTCCAGATGCAGTAATAAGGCGGGAGTTCGGAGGCATCACCCGGATGTATGCAGCCGTCGGGGTAAGAGTACCCATCGCTCGTATGAGTTATCACTTCTACGTCCCAGCTAATGTTAGCCACTACGATGGCGACAGTGGAGAGTACCACGAGCAGCAGCAGCTTCAAAGAATCCGGCAGAGGCGCCAGCGCCAGGCAAAGCATGCTGCCGACCGACGCGAGCCAGCCCACGCCGTCTATGAGCCGGGACGAGTCCACCGTGTTGAAGTGGTACTGCCACTGCGCCAGGCACGCGCAGGTGATGCCGGAGAGCAGCATCGTGCCGCCCACCCGGCAGCGAAGCCTCCGCAGCGCGGTCTGCCCGGCCCGGATGCGGTCGTGGACCTCCCTGCCGCCCAGGCCCGCGGAGCTGCGGCGCAGCAGCCCGTCCGCCGCCGCGGGCGCGGAGCCCGCGCGGCGGACCCCGCCGGCCACCGCCGCGCGGGGCCGCGGGCCCTGCCCCGCGGTTGGGCTGCGGGGGAGCCGGGCCGCGACCCCCGCGTCCGTCGCCGCCCGAGGCGCGCCCGGCGGAGGCGGAGCGGGCGCGGCGGGAGAGCCATGGCCGCGGTCCGACGCCCGCGGAGCTGCGGCGCGCAGGGCGTGCGCAGGGGTGTCCAGGCCGGCACGGCGGGGGGGGGGCCTCAGCGGTGCCTCCACCGCAGGGGGCGCCCGAGGTGGGCACGGGCAGGAGGGGGCACGATGCCCAGCAGCAGAGGCCGCCCAAGACCGGCAGCGGCCGCAGCCGGGCAGGCGGCGCTCTGCCCCAAAATAGGGGACGGCCGCGGCGACACCGACAGCGGGCCCTGCTCCAAATGCGACAGACACGCTGTCGATCTTTGTGCACCCTGCTCGATACCGCCGAGGTCGGGATGTCCTGGGATGCCGTGCCACCGCGGCGGCCCCAGCAGCACGCCGTGTCCTGCGAGGGGGCAGCTCGTCGCTCCGCGCCGCGGGGTGGGAGACAGGGAGGACCCCGCGACGCTGGCGCCGGGGGGCCAGGGAGCGGACAGCGCGTCGCACCGAAGCGCGGTGGGCCAGAACCGTCGGAGCGACGTGCTAAGATCCCGAACGTACTCCCCGGACCTTTCCCAGGGCGCGTTCCGACCGCAGTTTCGAAGCGACTCCAGCCGTGGAGCCGAGCCGTGGCGACAAGGGCCGGAGAGACCCACTTCTGCGAGTACAGCGGAAGGATGGCGGTATCGAGACCTCTTCCTCCTCTGACAGACCTCCATGCGGGGTCCCCAGAGGTCCCCACCATGTCCCCAGACTCCGTTTTTCATCCGAGTCGTTCGTTGAGTTGACAGTCCCGGGTCGGGGAGACGTGAGACTCGGGTACGGGGGACTCGGGTTGGCCCGACGGGGCCATCATGAAAATGACGAGGCCCAGTCTGAGATTTGACGCGAGCTTCCGCTGCAAACATCCCACGAAAACTGGACCGTCAAAATCCAGGACGCGCCCGTCAAGAAACGTCGGCAAGCCCGAGCTCCGGCGCACTCGAGTCTTATGCTACCCCGACCGGGGCGCTGCGAAGGCCCCCAGGGGCCGAGCGCGACGCAACACCGCCCGCCGTGCTTCTGTGCACGACGCGAGCATGTCTGGGCTCCCTCGCTGCCCACCCCCCAGGCGCTGTGGCGGCTGTGCGCGCGGCAGCGCAGCTGGATCGCTGGGCTGCCCAGGCTCGGCCAGGCGGTCCATCGGAGGGCGCAGCCCGGCAGGGGCAGGCGGAGCCAGCAGCGCGCGGCACTCCACAGCGCGCGGGCTCGATGAGAGGGCGGCCGCGATCCACTGCTCCAGGAGAGGCGGTCGACATGCTACCAGTGCCCCTGCTCACGCTCCGACCCCACGAGGGGCCAGAGCGTCGGCATGGACAGAAGTCTGACCCCGGGAGCCACGCTCCCTTCGCCCGTGCCCCGCCGCCCCTGGCGCCCAGCGCAGGGGGGCAGCAGCAGGGGAAGATGGATCGAACGTGGAGCGCCGAGAGGAGGAGGGCGGGCTGGGGGAGGAGAGGCAGGGGGAGGGGGGGGGGGGGGGGGCAGGAGCGGGAGAAGGGAGCGACAGAGGGGAAGAACCGCGGCGACGACTCTCGTGATCGAGAGCCTCCGCGAGAAGGGCGAGGGCGCACCGGGGCGGCCACTCGGACCAGCTCCCTGCGTTGGGCCGCGCGCCCCCCGCAGGAGAAGGGACAGGCCCCCCTGCCGCCAGCATCCACTCGGGGCTGTCCCCCCCCTCCCCGCTCCAGCTCTCTCCCTCTCCCCTGCCCCCCCCCCCCCCCCCCCCCCCCCCCCCCCCTCACACTCCCTCCCCCCTCCCCTCCGCATCCCCCCCTCTCCACACCCCTCCTCCCCCCCCCCCCCCCCCGCACTCCCTCCCCCTCTCCCCTCCACGTCCCCCCGCCCCCCCCCCCTTGCCTCCCTCTCCGCCTCGGCCTCCCCCCTCCGGCCTACCCCCTCGACCTCTCCGTCGGGCCGCCGCGCCGCCGGGGGTGGCGGCGGCAGGCTGCCCCCCCCCGCTGCCCCCCCCCCCCCCCCCGAGCACCAAAAAAGCACACCGAGGCAGAGGGGCGGCCCCACCGAAAAGGGTATCCTCTTCGAGGGAGCGAGGACGACGACGACGGCGACGGCGACGGCGAGGACGACGGCGACAACGAGGACGACGACGGCCAGGACGGCGACGGCCACGACGACGGCGACGACGACGACAACGGCGAGGACGACGACGGCGACGGCGACGACGACGACGACGGCGACGACGGCGACGACGGACACGACGACGACGACGTCGACGGCGACGACGACGACGGCGACGGCGGCGGCGACGGCGGCGGCGACGGCGACGACGACCGCCCCCAGGTCCGCGGAGGTCGGCGGAGGGTCCGCGGAGGCTGGCGGCAGCAGGGCAGGGGGGCGGCGGGGCGAGGCCCGACGGGACGGGCGAGATCCCAGCCGACGGGGCGGGGCCCCGGCGGGCACGAGGGCCAGAAACGGGAGAGGCCCTCCCTCGCAAAGGGCCCACACAGGGGAGCAAAGAAAGTGAGGCCTCACGCTGCTAATGGAAGAAGAACGAGAAGAAGAAGAAGAAGAAGAAGAAGAAGAAGAAGGAGGAGAAGGAGAAAAAGAAGGAGAAGAAGAAGAAGAAGAAGAAGAGGATGATGAGGAAGATAAGGAATAATATTAATGATACTAATAATCGTACTATTAATATTAATCATTAGTATTAACGACGTAAACATAAACTGTCGACGGTCCGCGCGGACCTCAAACCTGACGGGGCGGGAAAAGGTATACCCCAAGGGAGCTCACACGGCTTTCATAATGCATCGTTGGGATATCCACCAGTCCACCAGTCCACTGTCCTATGGCCCAACATCATCCACCAGTCCACCTGTCCACTGCCATATAGTGCTGAGACGGGCAAATTTGGGCTCAAGACGCTCCAAGACGTCCTCCAGATTGCCCAAAGAGGCCCCCAAGACGGCTCCAAGAGGCCTTCTAGCAGGGCCCGAAGCAGCCAAAATCGTTAACTTTCGTTTGGGCTGTTAGGAGGTTTCGACGTTTCTCCCTTTCGGGCTTCCAACGGCCCCTGGGGCCTCCAAGCTGGCACCAAGACGGCCCAAGAGGCCCCCCAAAAGGGCCCCACGACGGGCCACGAGGGGACCCAAGACGGCCCAAGAGGGGACCCAAGACGAGATCTCACAAGGCCCGAAGAGGCCAAACTCAGTGATTTCCCTTTGGTCCTTCCGATGGCCTCCCGATGGCCCGAGACGGCCCAAGAGCCCCCAAAGATCGCCCCAAGATCGCCCAAGAGGCCTCCAAGATGGCCCCAGAACGGCCCAAGAGGCCCCCAAGAGGGCCCCAAGACGAACCCAAGACGGCCCAAGAGGCCTCCAAGACGCCCTAGATGACCTCCAAGACGGCCTTGGAGCATCCCAAGCGGGCCCCAAATCGGCCCAGACATGCCCTCAAGACCGTTTCCGACGGCGTCAAACGGGCCAGGAGGCCATCAAGACAGCCCAAGATGGCTCTAAGATGGACCAAGCCAGCCCAAGATGCCAAAAAAGGTTTCCAAGACGGACCAGGAGGCCCCCAAGAGGGCTCCCGGGGAGGCCCGAAGAGGCCAAAATCAGTGATTCTCCTTAGGTGTTTGAAAGAGCTTGGCAATTGTTTTTTGCTCGGCCTCCCGACGGCCCGAGACGGCCCAAGAGCCCCCAAAGATTGCCCCAAGATCGCCCAAGAGGCCTCCAAGATGGCCCCAGAACAGCCCAATAGGCCCCCAAGACGGCCCCCAGAGGGCCCCAAGACGACCAAAGAGGCCTCCAATGGCCTCCAAGACGGCCCTGGAGCACTCCAAGAGGGCCCCAAGTCGGCCCAGAGAGGCCCCAAAGACGGCTTCCGACGGCGTCGGACGGGCCAGGAATGCTTTAAGACGGCCAACGAAACGAGGCCCCCGAGAAGCACCAAAGGCTCCAAGAGGCCCAAGGAGGGCCCCAAGATGCCTCCAAGAGGCTCCCAGGAAGCTCCCAGGAGACTTCAAGAGTGCCCACACAGGCCCCCAAGATGTCCCCTCCTCCTCCTCCTTCTCCTCCTTCTCCTCCTCCTCCTCCTCCTCCTCCCGATCTTCCCCGCCATCCTCACCCAAGTGTTCCCCGAAGGGTTTCCACAACGGCTGGGGAGCACATGGTCAGATAGCTTGGCAGAGCTCATGCCACAACGCTCGGCCACATGGGCGATTCCATAAGGCAGGGGGCGGCGGTGATTCGCCATAGGCTTCTTAGATAAAAGTTGCAAAAACGTCTCAGGCAAATCGGCTGCCAGACTGGGCGTCCTCGGGCTTTCCGTCCCCACTGTCATCTTCTAAACATCGTTCTTGCGAAACGCGGTTCGTAGAGAAGCAAAAACCGTCATAAAGATACAATTCCCGAGGTCCACACAGATTTCTTGGATCGGCGCTGGGACCCCTCCCTGGCGTGCGGAGCGCGCCAGGGGCGGCGCTGGAGACGCCGCCAGGTGGCTCCAACGCTGATCAAAGTCCGCGCGGAGCACCGTGAATTTAGATGTATGCCGCTTCTTGTTCTTCGAATTGAAGAAAAATCCCCTCCTTCGGCCGCCCCGATACGCAACACGCAACCCGGAGCGCGTTGACACGAAGCCGAACACGTAGACTGAAGACGTGGGCCGGGCGCGATACGCTCGCCAAAACGTGGGCCGGCAACGTACCGAGCCAACACGCAGCGTGTTGACACAGAACCTGTGGACACTGCACGTGCTGCGCTTCAACACGCGCGCGCAAGGACAGCTGCGCCTACCACCACTAGAACCCTTTCTGGCGAAGCGGTGATAGGGAAGCATCCCCTCTCGGGGACGCGTGGATCTGGAGCAGTGCGAACCCGGGTCAGTCCTGCTCTGCAAAACCACGCAAGATCCTGCAGGATCCCGCGCGCTGGCCTGGGTCAGTGCACCCCTGGCTCTGCAGGATCCTGCAAGATCCGGCGCTCTGGCTGACCCCCGCTTGCACTGACCCACCCCCGTCTCAAGGCTCCCGACCCTCACTGTTCGGGAGCCCACATAGGACGCACGCGCCCACCCACGAGCATGAGCACGGCCCCCCGGTCCGCGAGACCGGCCGCTCGCGCAGTGCGTACTCTCGAAACCGACGTGGATTCATGTCCGTGCGCGTCCTTCTTTCGCTCCTGACCTGTCGCCGCCGCCGCTGGCGCCAGCGTGGGCGGCAGCGTCGGCGCGGCGAAGCCCCGCTGCGCAGGGCGGCCGCCGCGGGCCTCGGCGGCCCCGCCGACGGCGCGCGCGCGTCGGCCGCGGGCTGCGGCGGCGGGGAGGGCGGCGGGGGGGGCTGGGCCCGCGTGGCCGTTCCGGCGGGCGGGCCCAGCTTGCCTCTGGAGGCCTCCCAGACCCAGAGATGATCCGAAGATCTGATGTGGTCGATCTGGCGGTGGTTCCTAGATTTCAGCCTCAGGGGCATGTTATGCATCGGGCCCGGGGGCTATCAGAAACTGATCCGGGACGAAAAGCCACCCCCGGGAAAGGGGTCGAGACATATAGGGCCGCGGATTGACAAAATCATGTCGGCGATGTCTGGAGATGGGGTCTGAACGAATGGGGTCGGAAGATCGCGCCGCATCGCCGACGCATCGGCGATGCATCGGCAATTATTGCATCGGCACCACTAGCGTGGAGACACTCGGGATCCCTCGGGCCACATCGCCGTTGAATCGGCGATGCGGCACGATCCTCCGACCCCATCCGCTCGGACCCCATCTGGGAAGCCTCTCTTCCTCTGGTCGGGGAAAGGGGCAGTCAGCAAAAGCCCAGACCTCCACAGCCTTGACAGAAGCAGGGCCCAGGCATGCTCACGTCGTGAAAATGACCCTGGCGAGGGACCCAACCATATGCAATTGTGAACAACGCAAGCGTGAATACTGTTATTGGTGGAGCTCCCGGGGCCACGAAGCGTGTGAGGGGTGTACCGACATGGTTGCGGCGGGCGCATGCGAACGCAGCCAATGGGGCCTTCGGTGGAGTTCCCTATGGGGCCACGAAAAATGTGTGTGTGGGGGGGTGCGACATGGGTGCGGCGAACGCATGCGAACGCAGCCACGGGGGCCCTCGGTGGAGCTCCCTATGGGGCCACGAAACGCGTGAAAAGGTGTGCCGACATGGGTGCGGCGGGCGCACGCGACCGCAATCACTGCGGCATTCGGTGGAACTCCTACTCGGGCCACAAACCGTGTGAGGGGTGTAGCGAAATTGGTGCGGCGGGGCGGCGGGCGCATGCAAGCGCAGCCACTGGGGCCTTCGGTGGAGCTCCCCATGGGGCCACGAAGCGTGTGAGCGATGTGCCGAAAGGAATGCGGCGGGCGCATGTGAACGCAGCCACTGGGGCCGGCGGTGGAGCTCCCTATGGGGCCACGAAACGTGTGAAAGGGTGTGCCGACATGGGTGCGGCGGGCGCGCGCGACCGCAATCACTGGGGCCGTCGGTGGAGCTCCCACTCGGGCCACGAAGCGTGTGAGGGGTGTGCCGAAATGGGTGCAGTGGGCGCATGCGAACGCAGCCGTTGGATCAGTTGGCTGAGCTTCCTATGAGACCGCAGCGTGTGAACGGTGTGCCAAAGTGGGCGCGGTGGGCGCATGCGAACGCAGCCACTGGGGCCGTCAGTGGAGCTCCTTGTGGAGCCACGAACCGTGTGAGTGGTGTGCCGAAAGTGGTGCGGTGGGCGCGCATGCGAAAGCAGCCACTGCAGCCGTCGGTGGAGCTCCCTATGAGGCCACGAAGCGTGTGAGGAGTCTGCTGACATGGGTGCGACGGGCGCATGCAAACGCACCACTGGAGCCTCCGGTGGAGCTCCCTATGGGGCCACGAAGCGTGTGAGGGGGGTGCTGACACTGATGCGGCGGGCGCATGCGACCGCAATCACTGGGGCCATCGGTGGAGCTACCTGTGGAGCCACGAACCGGATTAGAGGTGTGCCGAGATTGGTGCGACAGGCCGAGGGGAACGCAGCAAATGGGGCCTGTGGTGAAGCCCCCCATGTGGCCACCAAGCGTGTCGTGTGCGTGTGCGTGTGCGTGTGCGCGTGCGTGAGCGCGTGCGTCTGTGCGTGTCCGTGTGCGTGTGCGTGTGCGTGTGCGTGTGCGTGTGCGAATGCGCGTGCGCGTGCGTGTGCGTGTGCGTGTGCGTGTGCGCGTGCGCGTGCGTGTGCGCGTGCGCGTGCGCGCGCGTGCGCGTGCGCGTGCGGGTGCGCGTGCGACTTCGACTGCGCGTGCGTGTGCTTGTGTGTATGTGTATGCGTATGTCTGTATGTGTGTATGTGTGTATGTGTGTATGTGTGTATGTGTGCGTGTGTGTATGTGTGTGTATGTGTGTACGCGTGTGCCTGTGTATGTGTATGTGTGTATGTGTGTATATGTGTATTTGTGTATGTGTATGTGTGTATGTGTGTATGTGTGTGTGCATGTGTGTGCGCGTACGTTCTGTGCGTGTGCGTGTGCGCGTGCGTGTGCGAGTGCGTGTGCGTGTGCGTGTGCGTGTGCGTGCGCGTACGCGTGCGTGCGCGCGTGCGCGTGCGCGTGCGTGTGCGTGTGCGTGTGCGTGTGTGTGTGCGTGTGCGCGTGCGTGTGCGTGCGTGTGCGTGTGCATGTGCTTGTGCGTGTGCGTGTGCGTGTGCGTGTGCGTGTGCGTGTGCGTGTGCGTGTGCGTGTGCGTGAGCGCGTGCGTCTGTGCGTGTCCGTGTGCGTGTGCGTGTGCGCGTGCGCGCGCGTGTGCTTGTGTGTGCGCGCGCGTATGTGCGTGCGTGTGTGTGTCGGTGTGCGTGCGTTTGGTGTATGTGTGTGTGCGTGCGTGTGTGCGTGTGCATGTGTGCGTGTGTGTGTGGGTGGTTGGGTGGGTGAGTGGGTGTGTACGTGTGCGTGTGCGCCAGCGTGTGCGTGCGTGTGTGCGTTGTGTGGGGTGCGTGTTTGTGTGTGTGTGTGTTTGTGTGTGAGTGTGTGCGTGTGTGTGTTTGCGTTTGTGTGTGTGCGCGTGCATGTGCGCGTGCGCGTGCGTCTGCGTGGGTGGGCGTGCGGTTGCGTGTGTGTGTGCGTGTGCGCGTGCGAACGCGCGCGTGTGCGCGTGCGCGTGTGGGCGCGTGCGCGCGCGTGCATGTGTGTGTGTGCGTGCGCGTGTAGGAATGTGCGTGTTGTGTGTTTGTGTGCGTGTGCGTGTGTGCATGTCTGTGCGCGCGCATGCGCGTGTATGTGTGTGCATGTGTGTGCATGTGTGCGCGCGTGGATTTGCGTGAGCGCGTGCGTTTGTGTGCGCGCGTGTGCATGTGCGCGCGCGTGCGCGCATGTGGTGCATGTGTGTATGTCTGTGTGCTTGAGTGTGTATGTCTCGAGTGCGCGCGCGTGCGCATGCGGTGCACGTGCGTGCGCGTGCGTGCTTGAGTGTGCATGTGTGCTGGCGTGTGCGCGGGCGCGCAGGCGCTTGGCGCGCGTGCGTGCATGTGTGCATGTGCACATGTTTGTATGCGTGGTGTGTTGTGCGTGAGAATGCGCGCGTGGTTTGTTTTCCCTCTGCGCGCGCTTGCTTTGTTCTCTGCCCCCTTTCGCCCGAGGGGCGCCCGCGCCGCGCCTCGGCCCGACCGCGGCAGGACCGCTCCGCCCCGACGCCCACTGCACGCGCGCGCGCAGGGACGCTCGCACCCGCGCGGACACTCGCGCAAAATGCCACAAGCTCGCGCACAGGGCGAAGGCGAAGACCATTCAAGCTCTCGCCATGGCACCACGTGGGGAAACCCCAAAAGGAAAAGAGATCAACGGAAGCACAGAATCCATTCACTCCCCTGAGGGCGCCTCTCGCTGCAACGGCGCGCCCGCCGCATGGATCCCCCAGGTTGGCGTTCGCTCGCGGGTCGTGCCCGCTCAGTTTCCGATCGCGCCGACGGCGCCTCTCGCCGCCCCTCCAGGCGCTGCCCAGCTTCGCGCAAGCGCCCATGGCGCCGCGGAGCAGGCGTCTGAAGGAGGCCCTGCACATCCTGCGGACGGCATAGTCTGCGCAGCGCGCCCACGCGCGCGTTCGCGGCGCTGCCAGTGGCCGCGGCGGCCCCGCTGAGCCAGGTGGGCGCTCCTCCTCTGGCGGCCCAACCCTCGCCTGGGCTCGCCCTCTGGCCTCGATGGGCGCCCGCGCGCCTGCAGCGCTGCTGCTGATGCTGCTACATCCCCGCCTTCGCCACCTCCGCGCCCGGGCGGCGCTCTTCGCCCCGCCGCCGCTTCAGCCCCGCTGCGAATTTGCAGCAAGCCTTGCAGCGCTGGCAGCGCCACGAGGAGCCCTCGCCCAGCAGCGAGCGGCCCCTGGGCGGCGGCTGCCAGCACCACGGCTGGACCCCGCCGCTCGGGCCCCCGCCGCGGCCACAGCTGCGGCCGCCCCCGAGCCAGCCGGGAGGGCGCGGATGCTGGCGAAGCACTCCAGCACGCGCTCGGCCCGCCTGCCGCGCGCCCCAGCGCGCGCCGCGGCTCGGGCGGGCACAGGGCAAGCAGCTGCCCTCATATTCGCGCACTTGTCGGCCTCGCCGCTCAGCACGCCCTTCGCATGCTACTCGACGGGGCATCGCACCCTCGAGACGCGGGCATTGATCTTCGCCGCCGCGAAATTCTCACCGGGCACGAGCCGCCCGACCTCCAGCAGGCCCCAAAGGCGGCGCCACAGGTGAGTGGCCACTGAGCCGCCAACGCAGCTGCGGGCACGCCCTGCCAGCAAGCCGTCGACCACCGCCTCGTCGTCAATGATCACCTCCGCCAGGACACCCGCGTTGGACCGCCATGATCATCGCCCAAATCTCGGGGATCAGGCCGCGCGTCGCAGGGGCGAGAAGCGGGCCCCACGGGCCCTGCTCCAGCTCGTTGCAGTTGCACGCCACGACCGCCCAGCCTCCCGAGCGCAGCCGCGGCCAGCGGGGGTTGACGACCGAGCCGTCGGCGGCGATGCCCCCGCTGAAGTGAGTGGGGCCGTCGGGCTTGACCCAATGGAGCTCGGCCTTGGGCAGCTGCCAGCTCACCGCGGGGCCCTTCACCAGGCCGCGCGACCACAACCGGGAGTCGCGCGCCGCCTCGCCTAGCGCGATGATGTCGCAGAAGTTCGCGTCAGACTCCAGGTCGGCAAGCTTCTCGCGGATCTCCCGTATTCGGGGGCGCGGCAGGACCAATGCAAGCGCACGTTGGCACCCTCCTCCGCGGCGCGCGGCGCCGTCGGTCCTGCCCTCGGCGAAGAGGGCGCGCTGCTCGGGAAAGCCACCGAGGATGGCCACCTTCGCGGCGCCGCGGCGGCGGGCGGTCCAACTCCGCAACAGCTTCTCGCGCATGGTACGCCGCAGCGGCGCGACCCACGGGCGCGGCCGCAGCGCCGCCC